CGGGCATTACACTTTGATAAACTTGAAGAAAGAATTAAAGAATATGAGACTAAATAATATGTGACCATCCTCTAGCGACTTTATCTATACACCTTCATAATCGTGATATAAATCCAAATAAGCTTTTTATTATTTAGATGAAAATGTATACTTTATATTCGGCTATTCATACTTTTATAATTTACGAGCCCCTTCCCACTTCAGTTGGCCCAACTATTGAAATCTTAGCTTTTTTCTTATCAAACACAAATAATAAAAATGTAGCAGGGTGTTATAGGGGGTGTTATAGGTTTAAAATATTAACAATGAATATTTTGATAATACATAGTAGAAAACACCAACTTTATCACTCCCTAATCAAATTTGCAGCATAAAAATAACACATGTTGCAATTACAGCATATCAACCTATTTTCATTTCAATGCAAAATAAGTCTATAACGCATAGGTGGCTGTGAAAAATAAAAGCCATGACAACTGTTTTTATTAACCACAGCTGTCAATACGTTTAAAATAGTTTTGGGTAGTTAAGGTTTTCAAAATTGGTAGAGGAACGGTTATTAGTGAGAAAATTCGGTTACTGATAATTAAATTTTTTAATTCTGGGAAATCAAACTGAGAAATTGCAACTTTGTTAGACTTATCGCGGTATTAAGAAGAATAATCGTGAAAAACAGGCGTGCCAATTATTTACAATTAAGTGCTCTGTGGAGTGACGCTGTTGGAAGGAGAATTTCGAGGTCCAAAACTCATAGAGAGGCCCACAAACTGGGATTTAGCTCTTGCAAGGTAAGTTTTCTTATAAACAAAAGTGAAGTAAAAACCCTAAAGTTGCACAACTTGTTTATAGGCCAAAGAAAAATCACTATTAACTCCCCTGCAAAAGAAAAATCGGCTTAGATGGGCTAAAAAACATAAACAATGGACACCTCAAAAATGCTGTGCAATACAATGGAGTGATGAGGCCCGATTCGAAGTTTGTGTTGGTGACAGTCGCAGTAGTTATTCGCAAAAAAAATGAAGCATTCCATGTTGACTGTCTGAAGAGAAAAGTGAATTTTCCAGCATCCATTATGGTCTGAGCAGTATCAAAAGGAGTAGGAAAACTTCATTTTATTGATGGAAATGTGGATACAAACAAATATTTCGCTATTTTAGAAGAATCGCTTTTACCAGTGATGGAAGAATGTTTGACATCCGGCCAAGATTTTGTGTTTCAGCAAGATGGTGCAGCGTGCCATGCCTTAAAAAAGGCTATAAAATGGATGGAAGAAAATAGTGTACCACTTTTGAAATGGGTTTCTAGCAGTCCAGATCTGTCACCTATTGAAACTTTGTGGCACGAGATGAAAAAGGTTCTACGACAACATCCTGCTCGTACAATCACCGAACTGAGACAAAAGCTTCAAGAAACATGCGATTGTTTTACACCAAATTTTTGCCAAAACTTGGTTAACACTATGCCCCAAAGAATTTCAGCCCTAATAAAAAATAAAGGATATGTTACCCAATGGTAATCTTTCAATTGTTGCTTTGCTAACTTGGTGCATTTATTCGCACATTGTTTATTTGTTCAGATGTTCTATTAGTTATAGGTCTAAGTGATTTCAAATATGTATTTTTACGACTAGGGTGTATCTAAAATGTTTTTGAGACAATAAATTGTTTTAGAAGTAAATTGTTTTAGAAGTAAATTGTTTCGTCATGTTTAGTTTATAAAGGCATATTTTGGTACAAATCTTGAAGTGGGCCAACTGAAGTGGGAAGGGGCTCGCACACATCAATATAACTTATTTATTCATTGTAATTTTTGTTTTTATAATATTTCGATAGTTATAACATTGCATAGTGATTTGGTGACAGGTTGAATTGAAAAAAACCAACGTAATAACATCCCATCTTTTCGATTCTAAAATTTCAGTTTAACATATTTTAATATTTGTTCCTAGGGTATCGAGATTGTAGTATTACATGATGAGGTTTTTCCCAGTTTTACTAACCCTGGGTAGGCTTTTCTCACCTTCAAACTAGCTGACATTCGCTTGAGTCTCACTTGTAGTAGTCGCTAAATGAACTAGCGGCACGCCAGCGCCTACCTAGTGCATTTTACTGATTTCTGTGACATTATATAGCTTTTTTTTGTAATAATCCTGCGGATTAATAAGAAGCAATTTCAAGCGATGAACCGTGATAAATCGCGGTTATTACTTGGTTACAACATTAATTATTCATATTCCCTTCTGTCAGAGAGCTGAGAACATGGTTGCTACACGCCACTGTTTTGTGGTCCAACGTCAACGATTATAAATATAATTCAAATATAAGCAAATATAATGTGATGTTTACAAGGCACCCAATTACTTTTTATACTCTACACAGAAAAAGAGGCACGACTCATCTGATACCTTTTTTAAACTTTTTACGGAAAGCTATAAGTCACAGATGGCACAAAACAAACACGAAAGGCACAAAGGAATAGGAAAGGGTTATATTGTATTCATGGTTTGACATTTGACATTCAGAACCGCATAAAAACCACCACCTGTGCAAGGTTGCTATTGGTCTTGACTGCCAGTAACAGTGACAACTGTTACAAGACGCGTCGCTTAAAGTGGGAAAGTTAAAACCAAACACGACCGGTTATGATTGGTAAATCGCTTGAGGTGTCTTTGAGTTCCTTATGGCTGTTGCGAAGCCTCGGTATTCAGGTCTAAGCGACTACATCTACCTGAAAAAAATCTGTTAAGCGCAACAGTTCGAACTGAGTTGATAACTGATAACAGGTTGCGTGAAAAGTATAGATTCAACGCCACTTTTCCATTATTTATAGACTCGAAAGTACGTAACCATTAAAGAACAAAAAAGAAGGCAGGAATGTTGTAACGCGATACGTTAGAGAATGCTAGTGGCGAACCTCCAAAGGCAATTAGAAGTCTGCTTCAGCGGCAGTAGCACGTGGCTAGACCGGCACACGTGCGTCCACAACGATTTATGATAAAAGTTGCTTGTATTACTGGCAAGATTAAACCATAAAATGGCTCGTTTCACGCAGTAGTATACCCAAACCGCCTACCCCCTATGTCCCCAACCCCTCGACGGCTCGCCAGGTGTTTCGCTTCACCTTTCCACTCGGGAAATTCTTAGCAGGTCGTAAGATATTCATCTAAGCGTTCTAATTACAAAGCAACAACTTGCGACTAACGCATGAAACGCGAACAGAATGCTTCTGGTATTTTACGACTCAATACAATGGCCGCTAGAGCGCTAGTATCGCGTTTCTATACGGCGGAATATAGAACAGGTAGCCTGGCAAAATGGAGGCAAAACGTAACTGACATTGAGTTATAACCTACTTCTGACAATATTATCGGTGACTATTACTATTCGGCATTTGTTTGTCTGGGCGGTCCGTAGGACCTTTGCCCATTAGTCACTGTCTAATGTACGTTAGTCGAATCTGTCAGTCCTGGTTGCCCAGAAACCAGACAAAGTCAAGGAGAAAGAGAAAGGGAAAGAGAAGAAAAAAGGAGAAGAGCAAATAAAAACAGATATGCTTAGTTTAAGAGGAAGCACCTAGGCTGTTTGACTTGGTACACGGATTAATTTTAAGGTGAACTAAAAAGATTTTTGATTCGGTTATGTTAGAGTGTAATTTTGAGTTTACAGGTCGACCAGAGTAGCTAGAGATGTGAGATGCGCAAACGACGGAGTGAGAGAGCGCTATATCTGAGAGAAACAATAACAGCCAACGAATGTAGAAGTACAGTCAATGCGCCAAGTTTTTTCACAGTAGGCAAACGACTGTTATTTGATTTTCTATGATGAAAGAAGGTTGAAAGGTTGTTTTTCACTACCTTCCACTGCAGTTTTAGAAGCAGTCGAAACCAATTCATTTGCCTAAAACTTTGAAGATTATCTATATTTTTTTTAATCAAAGACTATAAAAGTATATGAATAGTTTAAAATGCTAAACATTTACACAATTTTGCAAATTCAGCTTGAGCTGTGACGTGATGATTACGGTGCAACCGGTTGTTTACAGCTTAAACTGACTTTGCCAGACTGTACATCCAAAATTCCGCTAGATTCCCCTTCTGCTTTATCGCTCCGTTCTTCGGCATCTTCATCCTGTTTCGGTCTCGAGAAAGTCGCTATCGCTGTCAACTTCATTTAAATGGATAACAACTTCGTCTACAACTCTATCAACAGCAAGCTCTTGCTGCATAAACTATATCTCAATTGTTTTTGCATGCTCGCACCTAGTTTTCCATTCTTCGGGCGTAAAGTTATTGAAAAACGCGTCGCACCATTTTGAAACGGTAGAAAACTTGAAATCGACATTTCTGGCTGCTACGTAAGACTTCATTGTTGCCCACACGAGTTCTATTTTATTTAAATCTGGGAGGTAGGGTGGCACTCTTAGAACATCGTGGCCAGCATCATGAAGAATTTGATCTATGGCAAGTTTTTTATAAGCTGGCTTATGCAATGTAATCAAATTGTAAAGTTCTGGTTTAAGCATTTCATCTGTAAAAAAAATATTCCTGAACGAAGCCAGATCCTCATTTCAGCTTTAGCGGTTGAAGATGTTGGACTTTTGTCTATCTGTTTATTGTGGTACGGCGTATTATTTATAACAACCACACTTCTGAAAGGTAGATTTGGAATTAGTTTTTATAATTATCAAAATTCATTTCATTATGATAATCTCCTGTGCTACATGTAGATTTCCATCTTACACAGGCATTGGGTGTAAATCTATATTCACCGCCAGCATTTAGTATGATCAGAATTTCTCCCTTTGATATTGGTTTCTTCATGACGTCTGTGGAGTTATCTACCCAGCTTTTGGTATGTGTATGCGAAGAATGTATATACGTTTCGTCAGTATATATTACTAGGCGTCCTTCTTTTCTATATTTCCTTAAAAAAACAATCCGTAAATGGCGAATCTCTGCCTTTTCTATTAATGATTGTCTATTGGATTCAAATTTCTTCCACCTGAATCCCAATTTGTGTATTTCCTTGCGTAGTGTTTCTTTACACCCTTTTCAATTGGCAACATCGCGCATTTTTCTGTGTATACAGCGCAAGGTAGGTATGCGCTTCTCTGTTATATGGTAGTTGATGATCGTTCTCCGTAACAACCCTTGGTCAAAACCATCGAGAGCCACCTTGGTTTTGATGTTTGTTCTCTTTGGTTTTGGGAATGAAACTGCCACATGCTCTTTTATATTTCGCACCTCTTTTTTTACACGCCTTATGGAAGACAGGCTCACCCCTGTTGCGGCAGAGACACATTCTTGTACCTAGAATTTACAATAGTATTGCAAAAACGTATTAAACCGGATTTTACAGACCGAATAAACATAATTATTATGAAGGCCTTACTTTGTCTATAGGAATAGTCACTCCATCTGTTGCTTCCTTTTGCATGAATTCTAATACAGAGGCTATAATTTCTCGACATTGTTGACTCAGAACCTTGTTTCTAACTTTGCTATTCATCGCGAATCTGGCAGTATAACAACATACATGTACGCGCCTAAAATTTTTATTCGGAGTGTATCCACGATGTGCCGTCGATCGCTGCTGCTTATGAAATGGTGTCCCCACTACTCAACCCGCCGTGTCTACCGCGCATCCAATTCTCATATCTCAATGCAGAATAGGTAAACTGTACTAAAGATTCGCGCTAACTTTTGATTACAGTGCGAGCCGTGACCTTGAATGTTTATGAACTTGCTCCACTGTGTGTCGGTGACTATTTCCTTCGTCTAAATTTCTACCAATCACAAACGCGCAATTTTGAATTACAAATGGTTTCTAGATGAAAAAATTGTATGACAGAACCTGTCAGCTGTTTTTCGAGTTTACCCGCGGCAAATCTTGACAGTTAGTTGTTAATAACAAGTAGGGGAGACCGAGAAGGGTTGTGACAATTTTCACTTCACGAGCATATCTTGGTGAGAAAAAGGCCTATGCTTATGATATTAGTACTCAAAATAGCTATAGTCCTGTCCGCTATGTGAAGCAATTATATGATTTTAGAAAATAATCACGGTCCTTGAAAAATTCGATGAAAACTGGAAGGCTCTTTCTTGTCACAATTCTCCTAGTATCGAGGTAAATTGTGACACATGACGAGGTAAGTCGTGACTGCAACATATTTCGGGATTAGAAAGGGAACAAACCTAAATGAAACGCAACTGATATGCTTGTGTACACTATTGATTATTAACATTAACATTAACTATTAAACTATTTATAACTTCAACATGACACTTCTGTGAGATCCACAGAAATAAAAACGCATTAAAGGTCTGCTCATAGCACATTCTAGTGTGATAAGCAGTAATGACAGAAATAGAAGAGCTCTCCCCCCAGTGCAAGCTTCATGCGACCATCCTTTGCAATTAATGCACTGAACCCATTTTTCCCTTGATTTGTTGTTTGCAAAAGGCTCAAGGCAACAAAGACAGAAGCAATCATTTTCTTCTTCTTCTTCGTCGCTTTTGTTTCTCTTACTGCTTTGCTTTAACTTGCTCAGAATTGTCCTTGTTGAAAATATCTTAACGTTCTTCGTCCTCCTACTTGCTTCCATAGCAGCAAATTCGTCCTTAATAGGAGTATCAGTGAGCACAGCAGACTTGATCTTACGTCTATTCTGTTATTCTTTTCTTGGTGTGCTCCCAGTTATCACAAGCTGTGTTCACGGCCTTTTTCAGAGTACCAAAAATAGCACGATTAATCGATTGCAGCTTGTGAGTACAGTGCGGAGGGAACGTAAGCAAAACCACACCATGTTCGCTACAAAACTCAATATTTTTCGAAGCCAAATGCGATGAGTGGTTCTCTAAAAGTAACAGCACTTTCTTTTCTTTTGATGGTCTTACGTAGTTGATGAAATGATGGAGGAACAGGTGAAAGTCGTCCTCATGCATCCATCCAGATCCGTTAACTGTTCCTACTGAACCAGTAGGACCACCTCGAATAAAGTGGTCTTGGTATCTTTTACGTGGAAATATGAAGAGAGAAGGTATGTAGTTACCAACAGCATTTCCAGCCAAGGCCAACGTCACCAGAGTTCCCCTCTCCGCCGACGTCATTGCACTGACCTGTTTTTCGCCGCGTCGTGCAATGATTCTAGACTGTCGTAATTCCTGTTTCTTCAACATTCCAAATATCTTTTGCTTCAAGCGCATGTTTGGCCAGGACACCTGTATAGTTTTCAAAGAAGGCAGCCACATTCGTCTTATTGAAGCTCGTAGCGCGAGTTATACTTGTGGGTTCAGGCAATCTTAAAGATAAAATTGGATGACGCTCCATAAATAGCTTTAGCCATACTTCACCTGCCATTTTATTTTCCTCCCACGACATCGGAAATTTCCTATTATGCTTTTTTGCCAACATATAGGCTAATCTAAAGTTATTATTAATTTAATTGGAAAAATTACACACATTAGGGGTGATGAACAACAAGAACTGACAACATGAACGTAACATTAAAATCAACGAAATGATTAAACAAATTGTTGAAAATGGCCTCCTTCACTTAGTATGCATGCTTCCGCCCTCCTTCTCATGGAATTGCGCACTCGTTGAAATATCCCTGGAGTGTTTTTTATTCACAAGCTGCAACTATTATTTCTCTTAATTCCTCTACAGTGTTAATGGGACTTGTGTACACTAGTGTCTCAAGATAGTCCCACAAAAAGAAATCTAAACTGTTGAGGTCTGGGGACCTTGGTGGCCATTCTTGGGGCCACCGCGGCCAATCCAACGATTTGGATAAACAGTTTGTAAATAATTATGAACCGCTACACTGAAATGCGCTGGTGCACCATCATGCATGTACCACATATTGTTTCTTATTACTAACGGAACATCATCAGGCAGCAAAGGCAACTGTTGTTGTAGAAAATTGAGGTAAGTCTGTCCGTCAAGTCATCCCGGCAAGAAGAATGGGCCAATAAAGTGGTTGCCAATAAAAGTCCACTAAAATTCTCCAAACAGTTTGATAACAAGTATTTAAGTGTTTAGCGATTTTCCTCGTACTCGTTTCAGGATGTTCTTCGACTTCGTGTAGTACTGCTTCCTCAATTTCAGGTGTTCTCACACTTAGAGGTCTACCTTCAGATGTTGCTTTTCAACAAGACGACGATGAATATTAGAAAAGGTTCGACTATCTGGCAAAGCACGATAGAAATATCCCGAGGCTTGCTCACCATTACCGTCGGCAAGGCCTTATACGTAATGCATTTCCGTCATTTCTGCATTTGAATAATTCACCATCATTAACAAGATTGTAAAAACTAAATAATGAACAAGATGTCACAGGAACAGATTTGAATAACAGAGACTTGTCAGATGTCAAAAGTAAGTGACATATTCTAGAGCAACTAGATATTTATTGCTACATTGCATTCTTCAGTTATTACATTAATTTTCTCGGACAATAGAACAGTTTTTATTTTTTTACTCAAAAATGGCGCATCGAAGGAAAACAATTCAAGATAGATCATTTGCTTTCAATTGAACGGGGAATTAAAAAATAATTTTTATATGGTAAAAAACCATTGGCGTACCATTTTTTTCTTAAAAAATGTCGAAGTCAATACCCGTACGCACGCTACTGTTAAAGCTAAAAATTATTTTTGCATTGAAAAATATGCAACTCTGTTAACTTTCACTACGTACTAAATATTAGTGGAATATCTGAAGCGGTTCTGAAAATATTAATTATTTTCCATTTTTTTTCCTAAAACTTCTACACCTCGAGTTTTTGTAAGGAAACATTTTTGGACCATAGTTTATAAAGCAAACTAACATTAATTTTTCATGTAGATACACACCCTTAAATATTCGCATATCTTTAAGGAACGCCCTGTATAGATGTCGACTCCGATCTTCACATTCTTGATTTCTTATAGCTTACAGTGTGTCTCATGAATTTTGGATGTAGTATATCCATTCAAAGAAATTGTTTACCACGACGGGCGCGTAGCAATCCACCCTCAGTAATTTTTAAAAATATCCCCCTACCAGAAACCGATCCGAGTTGAAGCGATCGTGGTATTCGGTTTCACCTTTTAATTGAACACCTTTTAAAAATACTCCTGCTGGTCGGTGTGGATTTGCTGCGTATAGAACGACGGGGTGCTAAAAAACGAATATTAAGAGGAGCCTCCAATTGTGCACCGTGTATTATCACAAGTACTACAAGCCAGAGCATTTCTCCTGTGCGATTTTCTATGATCAGTGATTTCAGGTCGTGTCGACAGCCGAGTCACCACTCTGACCACTCGATGCGGTCGATTCTGGTGGTTCAGTAGATCTGCTTTCGTTCATCGGACCAACAGAGGTCCAATCGTGTACAACTGTTTCTTGCTTATTGGCAATCATTAGCATCGCCTGGTTTGGTCTCTAGGTAGGACAATGGACTAAAGCAGAGTACCCTCTATTTCAGGTATCAGGTGTGTCGAAATAGGAAATAGCAGTCAGAGCTTGCAAGGCCTAAGAAAGGTTTACATATCTTCAGAAGGTCGCGAAAGGTTTGTCACTGATAGAATCGGTATTAGTGCCTTTATCACGATATTGCAATATGTTATTTTTAAAAAGCAGGATATTTACGAAGCTTCAGCAGTCTACAGAGAAGTCTAACATAGTAGAGTTGATTTCCAGATATCAAAATTTCACTTTTCATTTGATAGGGATCCTGACGAATATTTACCGAATAACGCTTCTGTCTTGAAAGAGTGCTCTGGCTAACTGGTGATATAGCTTTCCTCCATCCAACCGCAGACGGCCAACAATGTTTCGTGCTTTTTGGCTACTCATCAGCATGATTTACGCTTGGTCTCTCGGTCAACGAACCGAAGCATAGCTACTATACACTATTAAAAGTGTGAGATCTATCGGTATGATGGAGTACAAAAAGCCATCTACTACCGGAGTCTTCCACTGCGAGAGTGAACAACAGATATCTAGGGGAAATGTAAAGTGTCTCAGTTCGCGTCGACAGCCGAGTCGTCACTGTAACCGCTAGAAACCCGCAGGATTTCAATGGCAAGGAGACCATCATCTACTATACCGCCAAAATCGACGGCATCAAGCGGTTTCAGTAGATGGCTGCTCTCGGCTCTCGCAGTGGTCGATTCTGGTAATAGATAGCACTTCGTGCAGTGTTTCGAAATATATATATAGGTATATATATATGGTATCTCACTTCTATTGTAGGATACTCCTCAAAAAATCTACGTTAGACTACATATATCTATGGAGATCTTCAGTTTCAATGTCTTATTGGATATACTATCAATAGTTTAGTCGCCTAGTTTCAACGCGCCCTAAATCGATTGTTAAGAAAAATCGAAATAGCGGTGTCATCTGATCGCAGAAAGTCTAAATCATGCTTTAGATCCCAAAATACGTTTAAAAACCTACTAAATCACCTTCAAAACCGTTGTTTATCCACTAAGTTGGTTTTAAAATCATCTAATTACGTGAGTGGGTGAAACCTAAAAACCCCTAAATCCATTTAGTAATAAGACCTACAACTCGTAAATCTATAATATTTGAATCTAT